AAAAAAAAAAAAAAAAAAGAAGATTAAATTTAAAATTTAAAAATAATTATAACAAATTAGCAACTAAAAATTTAGTAAAAAATTAATTTAAATTTTAGTTGTCATTTGAGAATTGGTCTACTTTTTTTTCTGCAAAAGAAAAGTTTTTTATTTTTGATATCAGTAGGAGCAGTTTTTTTCAGTATTGTACTGTTCTCTGTTTATGGCAACTAATAAATATTTAAACAACAATATTTTTTGCCGTTTTATTCCTTCCTTTTTTTTATCTAATTTAGTTTGAGTCTATGCTTTGCTGTTCTTGCGCTACATTAAGGCTATTAAAACTTTAGATAACACTGTGAATTAAAACCTTACTGAGACTTCAATTTTTTTTATCTTTCTGTTGCATTTATGCTGATCTTACTTGGCATCTTGTCGAATAATCTGTAGCTTTTTTTTTTTTCTGGTAGGGGAACTGTTAGTGCTGAAGAACCTCTGGTTGTTCTACAAACAACAATAATAATGCTTGAAAAAATTAAGTTATCAATAAAAAAAAAAAACATAAGTTTGATATCAACAGTTAGAAATTTTAACGTAAAAAAATGAATATTGCGGAAGAAGTTGTTTATAATGTTTTCTATATTACCGTAGCATTTACGTTGATTCTTCGATTTTGTTCCGGTTTTTCAAAACTGACGAACCACTGTTACAGTTACAGTTATGTAAACTTCCCGCATGCCTTTTTGGTTTACAATCACTAAACTTTATTCACTAACCTGGTTTTTGGAAAAATAGCAATTACCTAGTTTTTTTTTGCAGTAGTAGTAAGTAAAAGTTTATTATTATGTTGTTGCAGGTTTTTAAACAGTTAAAAAAATTTGTTTTGAAAAAAGCCGAGTAGTTTTTACTCTGTTCGATTAAAGCGTTTACAGCTACTTTTTTTTTTCTTCGCAGAAAAGCTGCTTAATGGAAATAGTATTAATCTGATTACAGGAAATATACAAGTATAATCAACAGTGAATGTGTTAAAATACCAGAAAAAAAAAATTCAATTTTTATTTACTGTGACAAAAAAAAAAAGTGATTTCTTATTCTTCTGTCAATTTAGTAAAATCTAAAAACAGAAGCAACTAAAATTTTGTGAAAATTCTTTATTCTATACGTTTCTATTTACAGCGTGTCAGAGTCAAAGGACCATGCTCAATGGATCTAACAAATTTTCCGATGGATGTGCAAAAATGTAATCTTGTTTACGAAAGGTTGAACTTAATTGTTTTTGTCGTTTACATATCACGAATAGACTTTAATACTAGATTTCTTTATCAGTAGTTATACTAAAACTTGCTGTCACTGTATTTATGCGACAAAATTAGTATAATTAAATCGAGCAAACTAAATTTTACAAAAAAAAAAAATTAGTTTTTTATCCTAAAATTTCGAAAAAAAATTTTTATAGTTTATTGTACCGTACTGTTTTTACCTGGTCAGCAGCTTGTTACTTAAAAATTATGTTTCCATTTTGTTGCGCTTACTGAATTCAGTTAAACTTGTTAACAATGACACAGAAATACGTCGTTTCAGTTTCAACTACAATAACCAGGAAGTTCGTATGCGGTGGAATCCGTTGGTCAAACAAGCTGTCTATCCAACTGGGCCTATTGTTCTGCCGGATTTTAACCTTGTCGGTATTTCGACATCCCGTAAATATGAGGTACAGTTGTTATGTACGCATTTTAAGAGAAAAATCATTAGTTAGACTTACAACTGCTTAGAAAGAAGAATAAGATTCTGCGTTTAGCTGTGTCACAAAATAATTTTTAGATTAATTACACAATAGTAGTTTCAGCCATATCCTGCCGGAATGTGGGATGAACTGCATGTTACATTCACTTTTCAGCGACGGTGTATTTGGTACTTTATGCAAGGATATATACCTACTTATTTTACTATTTTTATTAGGTAAATTAAAAAATTTTCAAATTATGCGTAAAATTCCATCATACCTATAAATGATTTGAAAGGAAAGAAACTAAACCGCAGCAAGCTTCTGTTGTTTTAACCCGCTTATAAACATATAACATAAGTTTGTTAAATAGACGTGTACTTCACCAATCACTACAAAATCAATAAATCATAATTGTCGTCGACACATTTGGAATCCTGGCCTGTCAACGACACCAGTTTTTGTTAAAAACCTAGTAAATTTACCCTCCTCAATAACCAAAAGCTTATCTTCTAAATATATATCATTAAAAGTAGATTTATAAACATATATATTATTATAATTTCTGAATACTTAAAACAAATACTGCTGATGAGATTCGAATTAGACTATACATTCTCAGAAGCTCACTGTTTAGCAAATGTTATTGCGCAAAAAATTTGAAGCAAATGTGCCATAAAAATGTCTAAAAAAAAGTTAAAAGATAATCAACTTTAACAGTATCTGCTTAAAGTAAGAGAATTGACAACGCAAAAACAGTCGTCTTAGAATGTCCTTATAAAAAAACAGTTAAAAAAGTTTTTTTCAAGAAACATATTATTTTAAATACTTTTAAACACTGTTCTTTTTTTTCAAGTGACTAATAAAAATAATGTTAGCATAAAAAGTATTCTAACCATAAGAAGTATCATATTCGCAAGTACTTTTTTGTTCAGAAACCTCTAAATGAGGAGATGCGGAAGGAAATCTTAAGTTTGTGTGTTTCTAAAATCGATAAGAAGAGTTTAAAAAAAAAAAGAAAAGATATATTTTAAAAAATCAGTGCTTTTTATAAATACCTAAAAAACAGTCTTGTTATCTAATCTGCTCTAAAATCTTATTGCAGATTTAGTAAGAGAATGAAAAAATTCATAAAATTTCAGAAAATAAAAACTTTGCTTTATTTGTTTTGCTTTTCAGTTCAGTATTTCATCTGTTCTTAGACTTATTTAATTTTACGCGTTCGCTTTTTTTTGCTAAAAATCAACATCTATTATCGCTTATGCTGAGATACAAACCTGTGTGGCAAAAATTGGTTCTTAGATGCATATTCTGCTTCAGGTGGTTGATATTTTTTATAGAAGGTACTGTCCAGTTGAAGAACCTTAAGTACAGTATATTCAGGCAGCTTTACACCATATTGTACTCATAATAAAAGCCCTTTTTCTTCCCGTATCTTGAAGAATGCGATAAAGTTTTACTGAAAACATCTGTAGTTGACTTCAACTAAAAGTTTTAGACTTGCCTAAACAAAACACAGCACTGGTATTATACCAACATCAAAAAGAAATTTCTGTTAATCGCAAAGGCACACATAGAAACTGGTAGTCTGAAAAGTATCGATGACGAAGTACAATGACGAAAAACCACAATGAAGGTTTTTGAATTGCTGCAATCAAAATCAGATAAAAAACTACAGATTTGTGTGCAGCTCACTATGTAATGCGAAATATCAGCGAAACTCTAAGCTACGGTAATCTCTGCAACTCGTCTAGAAGGAAATTGGAACGTAAAGACGGCTGACAGAGGCTTAATTCCAAAAAGTACTCATTTGCAGGATGCTTTAAAAAAAACTGGGTCTTTATTCTGAAGCAGAACCAGGTTGGGAGGGTGGACAGTGGAGGGCGACTTCACTAAACACGGTTTTTTGTTTATTAGTAGACAGTAAACTTAAAGCGTTTTTAGGTCCACACGTACTTTATCAAAAATTTTACCAACTGCAATATAATTTAACAGACGTTTATTGTAAAGTGACGATTTTAATCTGTTACACTTTTTCTCAAAGTAAAGTGCTTACGATGACTAATTATTTTATCAAGAAAAACGTCATTTTTGCTAGAGATAAATGAACCACCAGATTGCAACAAATAGCATTAAAATTATTGAACATCTTGTACCTTGTTAAAATTATGGCTGTCTTGTCAAGTTAATAAACGAATATACGTATTTTTACGTGTTTCTTCTGTTAGTATTGGTAACTGAGCGGTGGCAAGTTATTCGCATCATACTGCTATGTTACTCTAAATTTTTTTTAAAATTTATGAACCATCTCTTAAGTATGAGTTGAATTTTATACGGTAGGGTATACTACAGAGAATACTTATCACTTAGAAGTAAAACATTACTTTTTTTGGACTGAAATTTGTTCTATTTGATGATCCTGCTAAGGCGTGCAATTATTTTGACATTCTTGATAATCAGGAAAGAATTAGAATTTATTGACGCCATATAATATTTCAGTTGGATTTCGTTCTCACTTGGACCTAATGCACTTCCAGCCAGAACAATGCTTGGTGTCAATGCTCTACTAGCAATGATCTTTCAGTTTGGTAATGTTATGCGAAGTCTTCCGCGAGTCTCTTATGTAAAAGCTATTGGTAGGTCGGATTACTTATCAGAAGTGCTTGTGTAATCAAAGAAGAAAAAAATTTTTTTTTAGGAAGTTTTGGGCAATATTATAAAAAATATTAAATTTTTTTTTGCGTTTATAAAAGCCTGAAGATTGTGCTATATTTTGAAGAATTTCTATGTGTAGCTGCTAGCTGATTTGGAAAGAACACATTATTTATTCATTCAAAAGGTCAATTTTTCAGATGTTTGGATGTTAGTCTCGATCACATTCATATTTTGTTCGTTGCTTGAATTGGCAATAGTAGGGTATAAAGTTAAAAAAAAAGAAAAACCAAAAAAACTTCCGATAAAAACTTGCAAAAAGGTTCCTTTTTATCTACCCTGATTAAGTAGAAAATTAAATTTTTTTTTACTCTAATTTTCTTTTTTTTTTTTGCTCGTTTGCTCTGTTCCAAACCATATACTTGGACAAATCCTCCAGCATATTTTTTCATTTTTCTTCTTTTTTTTTCTTTGGCTTTTTTCCTTTACAAACCAAAAATAAAAAATTATTGAAGGAAGAGTTTACTTCACCAGTGCTAAATCATCAAGCCAATTCACCACCGAATTATGGTCGACGTTTTATGGTTCCAGTGAATGCTATTGAACTGAAATGGCAAAAGGCCAGTTGGAAGACGGAACCGTGGACACCGGATAAGATTGACTGGATATCGAGCATAGCATTTCCTACCTGTTTTGCTATTTTTAATGTAGTCATAGCTTTTTTGTATTTTTTATCATCATTATACTAAAATCTGCAGCAACAAGTTAGCAACTGTTCAGTGTAGGGTAACTTGGGAAAACTAAGTTTAGTCCATCTGCCAATGGATAGTAGGCATGGCAATAAGTAAATGGCAGCAATTCAATATGGAATTGTCATCATTAGAATTATTGCTAGACAGAAAATTGACAACATTTAGATTGAGTAATGACAAAAATTTCACTCTAGAGACAAACGAAATTTTTATGCAATAATATCAAAAACTTATATTTAACTTTCTGTGTTCAAACAAACAAACCAAAAAAAAAAAAAAACAGAAATTTTCTTACATGAATACATATGAAAAATTTATATTATATTGCCATTATTCAACAACTTTATTGAGTGGACATTTTTCTTCAAAAGTCTAAAATTTATTGATTTATTCAACTGTTTTAGATTGTTTACTGGTCATATTATACACATCTGGCTGCATAGCTTTGGAACTACTGACAACAACAACAACAACAAAAAGCTCAGGTAAAACGTGTGTCAATCAGCTGATAAAACCATTGCCCTCTCTCATCCTTCCTTTTTAAACTATTGTGATCTCATTTTATGCGCAGGAAAATAACTTGTGTTTTTGTACGGTACTACTTATGTATTTTTTTAATTGTTTTTATTTGCCTTCATGCTTAAAATTGAAAAAAAAGAGAGTAATAATATGAAAAAATAAAAGATTTCATGTTGTCCACGAAATATTGAAATGCAATTGAAAATTTGAATTCAAATGCTGAAGTTACTGTCGTAAATGGAGTGTCACTAAAGAAACACTGCTGGTCTGCCCCAGAGCATTCATATTTCGCAGTACTGCCCGACATCATTGAACTCCACTTCGTAGACGCTCTGTCAAATTTGGTATTGAGCTGTTTAGCAAAAAATCATATTTAAAAATTATTCAGTTGTATAGAAGTTTTTTCTTGCAACAAAGTAACTGTCGTACTGTAAACACTGTAAACACATTCATAATAAATCGAGACAACATTATTTTAAAGCTCTGCATGTTGAATAGAATCAAAAATATTGCTGAGATAAAAGAGCACAAACAGAACTAGAAGAGCAGGTAAATTCTATAGGCCTGTATAGTGCATATCTCTAACTAGAAGCATTTTAGAAATTTTTGGTAAAAAAATACAAAAGAAAAAAAAGTGATAAGAAATAACGGATGCAAATCCCGGAAAAAAGTTGTAATTTTTTTTTTTTTGATGCCATTTTCTATTCATAGAATTTTTGTATGCAAATTAACCGCAAAACAAGCTCAAAAGAGTTTACTGCAGGGAAACTCAACAAATGCTCCAAATTTTTGTGATTTGTTGATTCTGAAAGCACATTCAACTATCAGTTCAGTTGTTTCGGAAGACGTTTATCAACTATTTTTTAACCAAAATCTCTGATGTTGGCTAAACCGTCTATTTTTCAACGCTTAGTGTTTTTTAAAAGTAAATTTTCTCGGTTTTCTTAGGGTAATCATAGAATCGCTTGTTACATAGGCTGGTAAAGATAATACTTGGCATGCTTTCATTAAACAAAAAAAGCTAGAAATACTGGACTATATTGTGGCTGAGCTATTCGATTACTTGTTTTTGTTCCTGAATTAATTGTCACTAAACACACATTTTATTTTAGTTTGAACCTGTTTAAATCAGTTTCTGATCGCTGTTTATTACCCTTTCCAAAAAAAAAAAAAAAATTGTTGCATTGAAACTAGAAAGTTAGATAGAAAACTCTTCTTCTATCTTTTATTCTAAGTAGAAATAGTTGAAAAAAGAATGTTTTTTTGGTGCTTAAAAATGAAAGAAACAAATAAAGAGAGTAAAAAAAATGAATACTTTAAACTATTTTCGTTCTTTTTTTTTTGCATTTAAATTCGCGCTTCATTTGTTCATTCTAGAATTGCCAAGCTGATGTTGATCACTGCGCTTTTACTTAAGTACTGCTGTTGTTCTTTGGCCATTTCGACCAAAGCAGCAACTTTTAAGTTAGTCTGACAAGTGCATTTTTATGAGTCAATTTTGATGAAATTTTCATCTTTCTCGTCATCTAAAGTCAGCCAAACAGACGTTACACATCACGCCAGAATCTTTATACACGCAGGATTGTCCAGGCCAGACTGCCCTTGGCATTCACTACAATTCTGCAGTCGGCAGCAAAACAAAACCCGGGAAAACTAAGGGCATTTCTCATTGTACCTTTGATTGCTTAACTTTTTTTCAGTTCTACTCGAGTTCTGCATTCAATTACGGTTGGTCGGTGACCGGTAGCCGATCACCAGAGCTGGATTATTGCATTCAGTTTTTCTGTTTTGTGTACTTCTATCTGAAGTTTGACTTTATCACTAAAGTTACTGCCTAATTAAGGCTGATTCGGTTTACATTCTTCTGCTGCAATAGATGAAATCATTTATTAATACAGTGGTATATGAAAAAGTTTGGTAGAACAATACTGGTTTGTTAAGTAAACGTTTTATGTTTCAGTTTAGCGCTTTAGAATAATAAAGATCGAAGGCGAGGAGGAATGGAAAGCAAAAATGCCATTTATTGTTTTAATTTGTGGGGAAATGAGCAAAACTTTTTTTTCACTTCACGCTAAACGAGAAGAGTGAGAAGAAGAGGAATATGGAAAGGGGTGGTGTATTCAGGATTTGGGTATATATTAGCAGGAAGAAAATGCAGTTATGACTGCCGTGACTACACTTGGGGAAGTTAAATCTCGATAACATAGTGTCAGTAGTTAAGAATTGAATCAACTGATGTGCATTCTTTAGACAAATATTGCAAAGAACATACCAATCCATACATATATATGTAGCTTTTTTTTCTAGCTTTTTCAAAAATCACCATCTTTAATTTGTAGTACTTTTTTCTCTATTATTTTAAGTTTACAGATAATCTGTGTCGCTTATTTCCTAAAGGAGAACAAAAAAAAAAAGCGAAGAAAAAACTGGAAAAAGAAAATGAAAAAATTTGATAAATTAAATGTTTTTCTTTTTCTGCTTACTTTAATAGATATAAATTTACCAATAAAAGTTTCTTCAATATGTTCAAATTAATTTTAGTGCATTTTTTTCGTTTTACTTGTTGTTTCTTTTAAACAATTTTTATCTTAATTTCGAAAAAAAAAAATCGTATAAAAATAGTATATCTTTGTGTGTTACACAGATTTATTGCTGCCATATATCAGTTGTTAAATCTGGTCGTCAAAAACTGCTGTTATTTAGCTTTTACGACTAACTGTTTTGGTTGATCATTTTATTCTGATGAT